ATCTTGTCCTCAGGAGCCTTGCAGCATGTGCCAGCCAGAAGACAGAGGTGTGTAGGGTTTGCTGCACAATGAGAGCACTGACTGGAAACTTGGGTCCAAAGTGGCCATGACAGGGTGCATTGTCCTTGCTGGCTCTAAGCAAGGCTGCTGGTCAGCCATCTGCATCAGGAGTTTGATCTGATGTGTGTTTTGCTTCTTGCTAAGAAGCCTAGTTAAAATTATAGAGAAAAGTGAACTCTATAGAGCTCAGCAAAACAATGAATTATGGATGTTGGGTGAAGTCCCTCATATTTGGCCTTTGGACTGGAATCTCTGCCAGGCGTGCTGTTTCTCTCAGCTTGGCTGCATTTCTCTGAACTTTGTTGTGGATAAAAAACATGTGAGGAGTCTGTGAATGATGACCTGAAGTTGAATGTAAAAATGTGTGAACTCTGAATTTGTTTCTTTCTTTTTAGCTGTAGGCTAAATCTTTTGATGAGCTTAAATTACATTCTTTAAGGATGCCCATTCAGTCAGTCCCTCTGTTGTCAAGATACTCTGTGGGTTTCTTGGAACTGTTGGCAGCTGTCTGAAGTTTTTTCTTTTCATTAAAATTAATGGCAGATCATCTGTGTGTTAACACAGCTTTGAAGATTTAGTCAATGTTTCTGGAGGCAAAAGTAATAGTTGTTTCTAAAGCTAGACACTTAAATGAAATATATTCACTACTGTATTTGAAATATGAAACACTTGATTTCTTTGGGTTTGCCTTCTTGACTTAGTGTTTCTTTACACTTTTGCCTTTTTTCTTAAACTTGCAATTTGGTTTATAGAGAAATACAGTCTTCTCCCCATCAGCTCATTACAGCAACATTTGGAGAGGGATTTCTAGGACAGGAGGCTAATCACAGTAGCATACTCATGTAAAGGTGGACAACTTTGGGTCTCTCAACAGCAGCTGCGGTTCCTGTGCTCTCCCTTCTGCTCCCACAGGTAGTGTTGGGAGAAGCCAGCTTGATGGCAAGCTTGGTGGCAAGCTTGATGCCCATTCTGTGTCCATCTGAATGACTCACACCTGGGGACTCGTATAGCTGCTCTACATTAGGCCAGCTCCTAGTGAGAATGATACTTTTACAAAGCAGGAGATGATGGTGAATGTGGTAGGAAACTGGAGTCCCTTTTTCTTTCCAATATTCAAGGTCAAGTGACACTGGAGAGACTAGTGCTGGGCAATAATTAAATCAGTGCTCAACTGTGTTCTGATTGACTATAGTCTGTAGTTATCTCAAGTAGATTATTGTGGCATAATACACAGAATTGATAAAATATACCATGCAAGAAAATGTGATCTGCACAGAAACTACAAATCATTATTTTTTTTCTTCAGGAGATTAAAATTTGATCTTAGAAAACATACAGCAAATGTGTATTATTGCTGGATGAGTCCCTCCAGAGTTTCTCTGATCAGATTCTGTAGAATTACAAGCACTCTTGGATAATACTGCTTGTAATTTAATCACAAATCCCAACTAAGGATTATATTTTTTGTCACAGTAGCAATAACTCTTCCATGGACACTGAAGCAACCAAAGAACATGAAGACTACAAATCTACTTACAATGTGCTGTTAAACATGGCACAAGTTCCCTGTCTTTTGGCAAGTTGCTTACCTATTTTCATCAGACTTCTGCACAAAATAGAAATTGCCATGAGTTGCTATGCTGCAATAGCATGAGCATCTTGTGTGAATCTGGGACTGGAGCAGTCACATTTGTTAAATACAGAGGGATGTGGCTCTATGGACAGTGTTGGAAAATGGAACTGAGGAGCACAGTGCACCTCTGACACTTCTAGCTGTGAAATTGCAATCTGAATTTTTAACTGTAGGTTGATGTTTGAATTAGATGATTTTTGGAAGTCTTGGAGGCAGTGGTTTGAGAGACTCCAGTAAAAGGCACTGTCTCTCACCACTGGCTCAGCTGGGGTTTGAAAGCCAGTACCCTGGTAGTGCATTTCCATGGGTGACTTCTGTTTTTTTCATGGTAGGCACATTGTACTTTACATTGCACTTGGGGGCTGGCTTGTCTTTTACACTTTCCAGAACATTGCTAAGCATCCTCTAACCCAGATGTATTAGCGAATAGAGCGTACCTGCAAGTGTTAAAGGGCTACAGAGTCCAAGCAGCCCAGGTTGCTGTGCTGGGTAGCATTCTAAAACATGGAGTTTTTATTTGACTGCAAGTGTGCATGGAGATCAGGAAGTTTGAAATGAGGGTGTTCCAGGTTTGGTTGCTTTCAGATAATGTCTGTTAGGGGAACATACTGTGAAGTGCTGGGATGCAGCTGTCATGAGTGGCTTGCTGGATCTAGGGTTGTAGCCTGGTGCAGGGACAGGGGAAGAGCTCTGGGGACAAGATATGCTGCTGGGCAGGAGGAGAAGAGAATGTGGCAGCAAAGCTGAATCAGGCAGGGGTGAAAAACACTGTGCTATGCCAAGAGCTGAAGTGTAATAATGACAGGACTGATGCTGTCACCAACAGCTGTGGGCTTTCTGTGGTGTAAATGATACACAGTGCTAGTCTTTAGTAGCTCCAACAAGTTGTGGGTGTAAATGGATGTCTTGTAAAATAACTTTTGGTTTTTTTGTTTGTCAGCAGGAGAGACTGTAACTGATGGGATGACAGTGAAATGTTTGTGGGTTGCATATAGCTTCCATGGTGTTTTAATTCTTTCTTTCTAGAAATAGTGTGGAGGCAAGTACAAAGTCATTGTCTCCAACTAGAAATGGAGGGCAAGAAATGTCAAGGAATTTCAAGTCCTTATTCAAGATGAAATAAGCCTGCAGCCATCTTTGCCAGTACTGCTTATTGCATGTAGTTAGTAATGATTTTGAACCTTCGTAAAGTTCAGTATCTTTTTTTTTTTTTCACTTGATGCTTGAAATTGCATGCCAGTGTGTTTGTGTCTGAAGAAAACCTTACTGTATAATTGTTTGTTTTGTTTTTGTTATTTACAAGGTGGAATATATGTTGGTAAAATTTGACCATGAAAATAAGAAAGTGCGTTTGGTACTCTGTGGTGAAGAAGTTGTTCAAACACTGCAAGACAAAGGGGAGAAGGTAAACCCCAAGTGAGTAGATGTTTCCAGTTTCTATTTTTTTTATTCTCTTGTTATGATACTGTGCAAAATTTTGTTAACCTGGTTTACCATTCAAGTCTGCTATTGGTAAAACTGTAAACCACAAATACTGATATTTTCAGATAAATCTGGGGTTCAGGAAGTGAAAGATTTTGAGCACACTTGCAGGCAGTCCATGCACTTTTTGTATTATGCTTTGAAATAAAGGAGGATGTAATGGTGAGCCCACAGAAGTTGCAGTTTGTCTTGCTCTGATGTTGTGCCTGTGTGTATGCCGTAATCCATGTCCCATAAAGTACATGTGCATGTGTACTTGCTCCTGCATCTCTTGACTACAGGAGCAAGTGAGGGCTATATAGGGGAAGCCTGTTGTCTGTAAGAGCACTCTTGTATTTTTGGAAGAACTAGAAGTGTAGATGTAAGAATGCAGGGAAGTTTTTCCCTATCCTTTCCTGTGGAAAAGCAGCAGTGATCTATATTTTCTGGTTCTGGTTAAAATCCCAAGAAAAAAAGTTTGAGACAGATGCTAAGGGTGACTGCAATTTGGTGAAGGCAAATCCTGCTTATTGTATTACACAGCAGCACTATTGCTGCCAAACTGCACCTTGCTTTCCTTTCACCACTTCCTGATGGTTAGGTACATTGGAAGGTACACTGTGTTCCTTTGTCAAATATTCAAATATCGGAGACTTTTCTTGCAAGTAGTATTAATTTCTGAAATTCTTACAAATAATTCATCTTTTTTGAAGTAGCAGAAATATTTAAATGTGCTTCTTCTTTTATTATAGTCACCCAACACTCTGGAGACCAGAATATGGAAGTTACATGATTGAAGGAACACCTGGACAGCCATATGGAGGAACCATGTCTGAATTCAATACTGTTCAAGACAACATGAGGAAAAGACGGCAAGAGGCTGCTTCTGTACTCAAAGAAAATGAGGCTGTTTGCACAGTGACATCATTTCCAAGGTGAGATGGTTGTTGAAGTGTAATGCTATGTTTCCTGTTCTCCTTTTAAACTTTTTCTACTTATTGCATATAGCTAAACTGTTCAATGAAATAGACAAAAATATTTGATTAAAATAGTTTAGCTTGATGTTCCAGTCATGTTTCCTAAAATTTTTATTGCAACGAGACAAGGATATAAGCATCTTTTACATTTTTAGGTTCCTTTTAACCTGTGATAAATTTGTATTAGGAGAGAATATTGAATATTTGTAACATAAAGTGTTAAGTCTAGAGTAGTCTATACCACCTTGAGTTGATACGGAAGATTATATAGAAAATATTTTTCTTTACCTTTTTGCAAACTATGATCTTTTTAAGTAGCAGTTTTGCAAAACATGGCTAACCTCATCTATTTCTAATACTACTTTTTCACTAAAGTACGTGCAAGCTTCTGGTAGTTTGGGGCACCCGAACTTAATACATCTATTATACAATACTCTACTTACTGAATCTAGAAAGGAGAGCATCTCTCCTGGGTTAATAATACCCTTACAAAGGATAGATTTCATCCCTTCTACTGTTGTAAAGGAATTATTGGAGAAATTAAATTTAGGATGAACTTCATTATCTAGGAGAAACTGTATTTTGTGACATTCCTTTGCAATATAATTCTAGGCAGAGATTTATTACATTTGTTCTGACTAGCCTGGTCAGAGAAGTGAATGAAGATATAGTTATGCTTATAATGGTAAAAAAGTTGCTCTGCAGTAGAAGAGAAATGGCTGCCCTTACTGGCTAGTTTCTTGTATAATACAGAATGCAATAGCCCAAGATGCTTGCTGAGAGGAGGAACAATACAAAATATGCATTAGCAGCAGTGGTGCCAAAATATCTGCATAATGCCCCACAAATGCTGTTTTAAGAACACTCTGTTAACAAAATTCACTTTCACTTTATTAGAGTTATACTAGATGTAATAAAAGTTTATTTAAAACAGTGGACAGTGGTTAAGTAGTTGTCAGTGTATTAGAGAACTGGGTTTTCTTCCCCTACGACCTTACAGGTACATTATGCCATTTAATAAGTTTTACATGCAAAATTTTTGGACCCAGTCCTTCAGGGAATAAAGGCAGAGGGGTTCTTCATCCCTTGTAGAGACAGATAAATACTTTTTACATCACTGTAGGAGCAGTACATTGGACTTCAGTGAAAGCTAGTAAATAAAATGTAGTTTGTTTATGACTTATGGGTCATTCCAAACATACTTTCATTCCTTAGAGATTGCTCTCCCTAGGCTAGCCTAATTTAGTTTATTATTTCTGCCTTTTGCTATCTTGCCATTCAAGTCCTTGTTGGTTTGACTGGACTCTTGCTAGCATGTATTTCTGAGGCTTCATGGGGTTGAAGTTTTTTGCCACATCGTCTCTACAATAATACGTTCATATGACTGTGTGCATCTGAGCATGTACACGTGTATATAATAAAATCTGTGCATTTGAAAAGACAAAAAAATTTGTTAGAATGCTGATGGAAGAAAGGTAAAGAAGTAAGTTTATTCAAATTACAATAATTCCGTTAAAAGTGAACAATTTGAAAATGCTTAAATATTAAAAAATTCTAGCTTAAATACTAAATGAGTGTCTGTAGTTCTTAAATCTGTGAGCACTCACTGCTCTACCAGAAAGTTGCTTTCTTTCTTGAGGACTGGAGGGATGCAGTTTACAATGTAGCACTTAGGTAAGTGAAGCTGGCTTTAAAAGCTGTAGGACAACTTAATGAAACCAGGAAGAAGAAACAATATTGAACATAAATAATATTCTCAGAAATGTGTTTTCTGTTATCTTGACTAGTTTGTTTGTAATTTTATCCGCTAACTTTTTTTTAACCATCCAAATACTAGAACCTCTCAACACAATCTTTGCCCTTTTTACTGTACAACATGGAGAAACTAATCTGATGCTTTACCTCAATCTTGTCAAATGTTCCTTTGTCTCAGCTGTACTGAGAGCTTGTTCTTGTTTCAGGTGACTCTGAAACTTAAAATGGAGTTTCTCAAAGGGGAGGGCTGTATTCTGATTAGCTGGCATATCTCTCAGCATTTTACACCTAATAGCCACAATTTTTATTTGCTTATGACACTTGTCTCATAAGGGTTCTCAGAGCTCTAGAAGTGCTATAAGACTTAGGATGTGTGTACCTAATTCTAATTATTACAGAATTCGTTAAGCATATATTTTAAAAGTAGGGCTGGATAAATTACTTTGGCAGTTGACCTGAATCCTCAAGATAAACGCTGAAACACATAATGCAGCTGCATGTCAGTATTAATAACAAGCACTAGCACACTAAAATGTGTGTGTACCCCACATAGTACTGAAGTTTCCTGCATCAGCTGCTGAAAATGTCCATGTTTTCTGTCTAATGATAGACCAGTGGGGTTTCTTTTAAAAAAAAAAAAGCTGTGTTAACCACTGTGGAAGGTGGTTGTTGGCTGGTTGTCTACTGGAATCCTAATCTCTGATCATCTGACCGTTCTAAAATCACAGTCTGTTTTCATTACAGCTTGGGTCTCATTGTTCTGTTACACAGGTTAGGGTGCCCTGGGTTTACACTGCCAGAATATCAGCCAACACCAGTAGAAGGAGGAGCTTCAAAATCACTCTTTTTTCCAGATGAAGCCATCAATAAACATCCTAGATTTAGGTAAGACTATTTGGGAAATTTGAGAACTTGAATATTTTGTCTCTACCTAAATATCATAGATATATCTGCAAATTCTTTACAGTACTGGACTAGAGAGCTCTGTAGCTGGTTGCTGCAGATATCACAAGGACTTGCACAGAAATAGTTGTGATGACTTGTATTTTCTTTTCAAAGTGCCTTGAAAATTAATTAAGTAAAAGGAACTTTATATAATAATTGACACTATTATGGGGCAAAAAATGTTGATTTTGCTACTGCAAAATTGTTTCTAGTTTGAAATCCTGTACCTAAATGCTTCCATCATGGTTAATCCAGCTCCCACTTAGGTATGTCACAGCAATATCTCTGTACTCAGTAGCTTGCCCTAGTTACTCTGAAATGGATGATGTACTTCTCACTGTGACGGGAGACTTTGGACAAGGAACATTATTCTGTTTAAAAACTAAGCATACCTTTTAGTTTGGCGTTGGATTCTTTGTGTCTGTAGCCTTTTGCTTCTGACTCTTTTATCAGTATAAATAAGACTGACTTTAGTGAAGAAAAATTCAGTGTTGTATCTTTTACAGTCTATCTTAAAACTAGGAAGAGAAGCATCCTGAAGGAGAGTGCTCAAAATAAATAAAAAGTTGACATTCTGAAATCCTAAAAATTGTTGAGAAAGTAGCTGCAAATATATTTGCATAAAGAGAAAATTTCATGTAATTCAAAAAACTTCTTCTTTTGTCATAGTACACTGACCAGAAATATTCGACACCGAAGAGGAGAGAAGGTTGTGATAAATGTACCACGTGAGTAAATTCAGTCTTATCTTGGCTCCTTTTCAAAATAATTGTTTAGTCTCATGCTCTGAGTTACTGAGTGCCTGTATTTTCCACACAGTATTTAAGGATAAGAACACGCCATCACCTTTCATTGAAACATTTCCTAATGATGATGGGGAAGCAGCAAAGGCAGCTAAGCCGGACTACATATATATGGATGCTATGGGTTTTGGAATGGGAAACTGTTGTCTCCAGGTAAAATGCATCTGCTTTCAAGATATTCTTGCATATTGACTTTTCTAAACACTTCCTTTTTCTAGACTTGTCTTATGTCTACTTTCACTTTCTCCAACTGATGTGTTGTACATCGGTGTGGCAAAAGGGGAGATAAAAGAATGAGTGGTGTATCTAGTATTCTAGTCTTAAAATCCAAGCATAGTGGATTTTGTGGCCAGGTTTTTCTAGCAGAGGAGCTGCAGGGATGGCTGCTATGAGAAGGTGCTTCTCCCATGAGAAGGAAGCTTCTCCCATCTCCAACAGAGCCAATGCCAGCTGGCTCCAAGACAGACCCACCACTGGCCAAGACTGAGTCCAGCAGTGACAGTGGTAGCACCTCTGAGATAAGTACAATAAGAAGGAGGGGAAAAACTGTGCAGTGACACTGCAAATAAAGATGGGAATGAGAATATGTAAGAGGAACAGCTCTGCAGGCACCAAGGTTGGTGAAGAAGCAGGGGGAGGAGGTGTTCAAGGTGACAGAGCTGAGATTCCCTTGGAGCCTGCAGTGAATATTGTGGTGAGGCAGGAGTTTGGCATTGGAGCAGACATCCACCTGCAGCCCTTGGAGGACCCCCCACCAAAACAGGTGGATGCATGAAGGAAGCAGGACCTGTCATCCCATGGAGTACCCATGATGGAGCAGTCAGTTCCTGAAAGACTGAACCCTGTGAGAAGGGACCCATGCTGGAGCAGTTAAGTGTAGCCCATGGGAAGGGCTGTTGTGGTTTAAACCCAGACAGCAAATGAGTACCATGCTGTTGCTCCCTCACACACAAGTATACCCCCTTGCCTCTGGTGGGATGAGGAGGCAAATCAGAAAAGCTTGTGGGTTGAGATAAAAACTGCTTAATAATTGAAATAAAATATAATAATAATGGAAATGAAAATTAGAGAGTGTGAGAATTAAACTTAAGAAGAAAGTGGTGCTCAGCAGTACAATTGCTCACAACCTGCTGACAAATGCTCAACCTGTCCCCGAGCAGCAATTGGCCCCTCCCAACCAACTCTCCCAGTTTATGTACTGAGCATGATGCCATATGGTATGGGATATCCTTTTTGCCAATTCAGGTCCCAGCTGTGCTCCCTCCTGGCTTCTTGTGCACCTGCTCGCTGGCAGAGCGTGGGAAACTGAGAAGTCCTTAATTTAGAGCAAGCCCTGCTCAGCAAGAACTAAAACATCAGTGTGTTATCAACATTATTTCCACACTGAATTCAAAACACAGAATTGCTCCCAGCCACTGGGAACTAAATTAATTATCCCCGCTGATGCCAGGACAAAGACTCATGTTGGAGCAGTGAACATGTTCATTGGAGGACTGTCCCAGGGAAGGGACCCCATACTCTGAAGCAAGAGTGTGAGGAGTCCTTTCCCTGAAGGGAAAGGAGCAGCACAGACAATTCATGATGAACTGACCACAGCCTTCATTCCTCAATCCTCTTGCTCTACTGGGAGGGGAGGAAGTAGAGAATTTGGGAGTGAAGTGGATTTTAAGATTTGGGGTTTATTTCTCATAATTCTACTCTGATTTGACTTGTAATAAATTCAATTAATTTCCCCAAGGTAGGTCTGTTTTCCTGTGACAGTTACTGGTGAGTGATCTCCACCACACCAAGTTGGGTCAGTGCTGATCTGCTGGAGGGTAGGAGGCTCTGCAGAGGGTCCTGGACAGGCTGGATCAATGGGACAAGGCCAATTGTAGGTGATCCAGTAAGACAAAGTGCTGGGTCCTGCACTTTGGCCACCACAGCCCCATGCAGAGCTACAGGGTGGGGAAGGAGCCTGGAAATCTGCCTGGTGGAAGAGAACTTGGGGATGCTGGTTGACATCCAGCTGAACATGAGCCAGCGTGTGCCCAGGTGGCCAGGAAGGCAGTGGCATCCTGGCCTGTGTCAGCAGTAGTGTGGCCAGCAGGAGCAGGGCAGGGATTGTCCCCCTGTACTGGGCACTGCTGAAGCCACACCTGGAGTGCTGTGTCCAGTTCTGGGCCCCTCACTGTGAGAGACACTGAGGGGCTGGAGCGAGTCCAGGGAAGGGCAACAGAGCTGGGGAAGGGTCTGGGGCACGAGTCCTGTGAGGAGCAGCTGAGGGAGCTGGGGGTGTTCAGCCTGAAAAAAAGGAGGCTCAGGGGAGACCTCGCTGCTGTCTACAGCTGCCTGAAAAGAGGCTGTAGCCAGGTTGGTGTTGGCCTCTTCTGTCAGGGCAACCAGTGCCAGGACAAGAGGAAATGGCTTCAAGCTGCACCAAGGGAGGTTCATGTTGGAAATTGGGAAGAAGTTCTTCACAGAAGGGGTGATTATTGGAATGGGCTGCCCTGGGAGGTGGTGGAGTCACTGTACCTGGAGGTGTTTAAGGAAATACTGGATGTGCACTCAGTGCCATGGTCTAATTGACAAGGTGATGTTCAGTCATAGACTGGACTCAGTAATCTCAGGGGTCATTTCCAACCTAATTGATTCTGTGATCTCTCCCTGGCCTTGCCTTGATCCTTGATTCTTCTGTTACATTTTCTCTTCCTTGTCCAGGAAAAGAGAGGAATGATGGCTTTGGTGGATATCTGGCATTCAGCCAGGGTCAATCCAGTACACCAGGTTTATTTGCTTGTGTGTTACGGGTTTTTTTCTGCTAATATTCAAATGTAATTGGATGACTTGCTGAGAGGGTTTCTTGAATTTGTCAAGCCACAATTGATCAAGCACCTGCTTCTCAAACTCCAGCACTTTCCAAGTGTGAAAGGTCATCTTCCACTCTGGTCATCTTTGAGGCATGACCAGAGGACACTCTGGAGATGAAAACTGAGCTGTCTTGTAGAAATGGGAGAGGTTTTTTTGGGTGTTCTTCTTCTGCACCCTTAGAACTGCAAAAGCAGGGAGTGGCAAGAGGTTGTGGGAATATTTTTAAAAATAAGTAGCTTTCTGTTTTTGTAAAATTTTAATTCATTGACAAGCTCCTATCATGAACTCCTACAAAGTTTCTCATTCTTAAATATTTTTAGCTATCTGCTAAGGAGTTGTTTCCTCACTGCTTGTACCACAAACCTACCAAATCCATGTGGGTAGTAGTCTTCTCTGACTGTGTGCTGAAAGATATTTTTGATTCTGTTTTCTCTCTTTAGACCGTGCCCACTTTTTATGTTTTTGGTGATTTGCCTGAGTTATTCCTGTCTCACAGTATCTTCCCTTTAAATCCAGGTGCTGAATATTAAGAGTGCTTTAATCCTTTCATTTCTGTTTGCTTTAAATGTTTCTCTGATGCTGGGCACTAACACCTTAGGTAATCATGGTTTATTTGAGTCTTGATAAAATGTGCCTTTTGCCACCACAGTCTTGGAAGCAGAGCTAGGAAGAGGCTAGCATTAACTCTCTATGGGATTAAAGGAAATTCTCCAGGCTCTTCTTGTTTCATAGCAGGGACAGAAAACCTCATAAAAAGCACTCCCTTTGAGCTTGCAAAACTAGAATAGCTGTATAAATAAAAGTTCCTGACAGGTGCTACATACAGTTTCTTGTCACTAGGGCAAACTAAAACTAATCTGATGAGATAGTAAAGTGTACATGATACTGTATGGTTTTACGAGGTGTTGGTTTGCCATGGTTTGTTTTATACCATCTCTCTTATTTAAGACCAATAAAAGAAATCCTGCCTTATTCAGTCATTGTATGAACTTTAAAAACATTATTAAATTCTTTTTTAAAGCAGTACTATTTTACTACTGCATACTGCTACATTTTATTACCACATTCTGGTAATCAGTGGCCAAATTCAAATTTGGTAGTCCTATTATTATCAAAGGGAGAATGAAAACAAGGCTGGCAGCTGCTTCTGTATTAATTCCTGATAACTTACTAGAAGAAAACATGTATGACCCACCTATTTTTTTAAGGTAGTTTGTAGTATATATGCTTCCTTTCGTGTTTGGGGGGTGGTCTTGTTGGTTTGGTTTTTGTTCCTTTTTTTAGTACTCCACACCAAACGACAACTTGATGCATTTCCTGAGGTAAAAATAATGTCCTGATGAGCTTGGGCTGGGATAGTCTGCATTGGCAGTGCCTACAGGCCTTCTGGAGAAGACAGCCGTGCCCTTTTTTTCTGTAATGGGACATTTGTCTAGAAACCATGTTGAGTATCAGATTTAGTGTGGTTTGGAATAAACATAAAAGGAAAGGGGAGGCCAGTTTCACTGTCTGGGGAAAGAGTGTGGGTATCCTGTCAACCCACCCCACTTAAAGGCTGGCTCCCTAGTGCTGAATGTCCAAAATAAGTGATGAAAAATCATACTTGCCTGCTTTTCTGCAAGATAATCTTGTCTTTTAATCCAACTGGATTTTTGTTTGTTTCCCTTGTTTTTTTCTGAAAAAACAAAACAAGCCACTTGAAGGATAACATAGAAGGAATATTTCTCCACAGCACAGCTGTTTTCTAATTTGGGATGTTTTCATGAATATTGGATGAAGATTTAAAAAGACAAAACAAACACAGACAAATACCATATTTCCCCTTTATCACCATCATCAACATCCCCCCAAAAAATCCATCACTGAGGCACCTGTGAATTCAGGAGTTTTGGAGGGATTTGTTGGTTGTTTTTTAAAGTCTTACTTGAGGTGCAGTTTGGTTTAGTGGCAAGCTGAGAAGAATATTAGTGTTTTGTGGGATGCTCTAATTAATATCCTTGGAAGAGGAAAGCCTGTGTCAACTGGAATTCTTCAAGACAGCAAGCAGAGATGTCGATTGGGAGCTGAAGCTTTTGTATAATGTTACAGTAGTGGTACTGTAGTACTGTGGTACTATTCCCATCTAAGTTTTCCTCTGATCTGTGAATACATGAACTGCTAAGACAAAAGGAGTTTTTAGACTGATCACTCTGTGGAGTTTTAAAATTCATAAAGTGTTGGTTTGCAAAGTCTAGAGGGTAAGGTCTGCTACTATAAATGTGTCTTCTGTTTGATACTGCTCTGAGTAAATTTCACAAAAATATTACAAAGGAGTTACATATTCCAGTGGCCTATCTGTGGTAGGGCTTCCAAAGCATGAATGCCTTCTGCAAATAATTTTTCTTTTCTATTTTTTTGCTGGGTTCTGTCCTCTAATACAGAAAAAGCTGGAGGTGGTTTTTTTTGTTGTTCTTTTTTTTTTTAATGAAAGTTACAGTAGACACACAGATATTCTTTTTTCCCCACAGTTTTTCAGGATCAAAGGCATCTTGAAATGTTCTTTAAAACAGGATTAGCGTCACATAAAGCAAATGTTAAATCTACAATAGAGTTTGACTGTTGTTCTAAGTAGGTTCCTGGCTTACTTCCTGAAGGTGCATTATTCACCCATGTGTACTCTAGATGTTAACTCAGTTTTCTTTGATTCTGGCAAGTGTTTATATATTCAGCCTCACTGTAGAAGCATTATGGTCTGAAATCTTTTAATGAACATGGAAATGGCATGGAAAGAAGCTTGTAATATAAATGCTACTGATAAGTGGGGCAGAAATATGTCCAAGACTTGGGGGAAAAACCCCCACAAAAAAAAAAAACCTAACAAAAGAAACAAAAGCTTTTAGTATGTAAATAATTTTATTATATACTTTATTTTAAATCTAGGAAAACTCTTGTATGATTATAGAAATTTGATAGCAACTGTACATCTTCCAACAGGTAACATTTCAAGCTTGCAGCATTTCTGAAGCAAGGTATCTCTATGATCAGCTAGCTACGATTTGTCCCATTGTGGTAAGTAGTGAACATCTGTCAGATGAACTCTTTCTTAGTGGCAAAAACCACTATATATTAAAAATAAATACCCAAATTGCAAGCTCACAAATTGGGTACTCTGGGAGAAGGCTCTTTATAGGTTGTCACATGAGTCATGTTAACTATTCATTGTGCAGGTGACACCACAAAACCGATAATATCTGTTCCTTCTTGGCCCTTGTGTCTGTTTCTTCCCTTCTGCTCTCATTCCCACATACATGAGACTTGTTGAATAGTTTTAGAAATAGATGTGGGCAGTTTCTCATGAAAATAAGGCAAGCTTGCTCCTTAAAATAATTTTTTAGTTTTTCAACTGGTGTTGAAAACCCTCTGGTGTTACAGAGGGTTTCAGGTTAAGTTTAAATCTTTTATAAGCATTTTGTAATAAACAACTGTTTGTAACAGTAGTTATGAAAATAAAGTGTCTGTCTGGTCTGGATGATGAGTAGATCCTGCCCTGAATGAGATATGTTCCAGCTGTGTTACTAAGGTGCTAGGCTAAACAAACAAAATAAAATGATTGCCAGGTCAACTTTGGAAGTGAGCAAGCAGAATACTTGCTGATTTCTCTCAAAAGTGCTTCTGCTTGTGTCATTTTTATGTTCCTTAAATGCTGATCTGTAGAGGTAAAATATTTGGAATGTCAGATGCCACTTCAGGAATGCTAACCTTTGACCCAGGCATTTTTTTGAGGTAGCAGTTGAGATATTTCTGCTATGAAATACATATTAAATGAATTATATGTACTTCAGTTTCCTCTGAATCCCTTTCCAGTGGGGTTGTATTTTGCTTTTGGTTCCTTGGCCTGTCCTTTGTCTTGATATCAGGCTGTTTCATTTTAGATGGCATTGAGTGCTGCATCTCCCTTCTACAGAGGCTATGTGTCTGACATTGACTGTCGCTGGGGAGTGATCTCAGCTTCCGTGGATGATCGAACACGGGAGGAGAGAGGGCTAGAGGTAAGCTGTGTTATGGAGAAGGTGTCTGGGTTTTTTCAGGCAAAAAAGTTAAATCTCCTTTAGTATCAAATTCTGCTTGTGCTCATCAGAATCCCTGATGAGAGAATGTGATTGTCTTTGTGGTAAATACAGGAGAGATGGTATAAACACTCACCTTGGTTGGTCAGTTTGTGTTAACAAATGCATATTTTTAATCAGGTATGGAATCCCAGTCTTCCACATCTGGCTGAAAAGGGCCTCCATGATGAAACTTTCTAATTTATGCTTGAGCCCAAAATTCAAAAATTGCACTAGGTTAATTAGCAGGTAGTATGAACTAGAGCTAAATCAAGAGAGCCAGATGTGAGAACTTGTAGAGTTTCTCTAAGCAGGAATTTCCATTCAAGGCATTTACAAAATTACTTAAAATAAATACTTCTTAAAATTTACTTGAAATATTTCTTGAACTACCTATTTTAAGGGCATCTCTAACAGTGTGCACATGGTGAAACTGGTATGTGTTTAATACTTTCCAGGTGCTTGGGGTAATGGTGTATTACATCAGGAAAACATTTCTGCTTCTGTAGAATTCTAGTCAATGTGTGATGACTGATTTTTGCTCAGATATGTGTCTGCAAACAAAATAATTGTAATTCCAGAATCACTTTATATTGAGCCTATTTAAGACTCATGCTTTTAATAATTTTAATTGAGGTTGTAGGGTTTTTTAAATAGGATAATAATTCTCAACGTGTCATTAGTGAGCAAAACTTAGGTAACATTGTTAACAAGCTGTTAAAATATTGTATTCTTAAATTATATAGCCACTGAAGAACAGCCATTATAGAATCAGTAAATCCAGATATGATTCCATAGACAGTTATCTATCTGAATGTGGTGAGAAATACAATGACATTGATTTGACAATAGACAAAGATATCTACGAGCACCTAATAAAGGAAGGTAAGTGTTTGCTTCATTATGAGCAGGTTAAGAATTATGTTTGCAGTGTGTGGGGATATTTTATATTTTTATTCTTGTTTGTTACAAACATTGTGCAGCCCTCAGAGTGACTCCTACTTGGGAAGTATCTGTGCAGAGTGGTCTTGAGAGCTTTTAAAAAAGGATTCACTTTTAACAGAAACTGTCCCTAATGCATCAAACTGAGTTTCTCTAGCTGGAATTCATGTTTTATTTTTACGGCTGAACTGCTTTAGGAAACATGGCACAGAATGCATCAGGAAACAGGAAGAATGGCAGCCACTACCAATATTCAGCTGCCATTTCCAAACAAGAACCTGTTTGGGTTTGGGTTTTTTTCTCTTTTTAATCATTTCCTTCCTTCCTGAAGTCATTGCTTTAACAGGATGTGGTGGGTTGAGGTAGCATTGCAGTGTTAGATATTTTCAGTCTTGTAAAAAAAATAATTTCCTAGAGCCTGTTTTGATATGTGTGAATTCTTTGTTTGCATTTTCATTTTGTAGGTATTGACCACCTTTTGGCACAGCATATTGCACACTTGTTTATTCGAGACCCATTGACTTTGTTTGAGGAGAAAATACATCTAGATGATGCAAATGAATCCGACCATTTTGAGGTTATGTCTGCTATAGAGGAATTTAATATCTATATAAATACAGAATTGCTTATTTTTATAATACTACATAATTGGAGGATGGCTGTATTAGCTAAGATTTTTTTCATTAATTTTTCACTTCAGCCAGTTTTTTAGCATATAACTTTGCAGTTATAAGCACATTCATTTATTCATTTTATCTTCTATTTAGAAGGTAATGACTTATACTTTAAACCAAATAAAATACGAAGAGCCTAAATTATAACTATGTATATAAATGTTAAGGGGAACCATCCATTTTTAAGGCTTCCTAGAAACTGGTTTGTATTTTATTTATGTAGAAATCTCTCTTTTACAGATTTATGAAGTAATAGCTGTGGTAATAATAGGCCTTTTTAGTTCAGGATGTGTCAGCCCCTCATGAAAAAGTAAAGTCAGCTGCATGCTGGTCCCTTAGTGTCTTGTGCATAATACTCAAACAAAATAGCAAGAGAAAGTAGAACATATTTGCTCCTAGGATGGGTAGTTGTACTGTGAGCTTTAGGAAGTTACAGCACTTACTTTGGAACCGCTTTTCTAACCTGCTACACTGTTCCACAGAAAAGATTAGGACTCTAGTTTATCTGCTTATTTTTCTACAATTATATTATAGAATTATGTGTATCTCGATTGTGACAGATTATTTCATGTGCTTTGCAGAATATTCAGTCTACAAACTGGCAGACGATGAG